TTTCTCTAGGCAGAGGCTGGGGAGGGCATAGGGTTGGCAACTCCAGGTTGGAAACTTCCAGGATATTTTAGGGATGAAGCCTGCTGAGGGTGGGGTCTGAGGAGGAGGAGGAGGAAGAGGGGGACCTCAGACAGATACAATGCCATACTCCCCACCCTCCAAACAAGCTGTTGCCAGTCTCCAGGTGACAGCTGGAGAGCTCTTAAAGCTCTGGTGCTACTTCAAAGTGCTGCAATTTATTGACAGAGTAGTGTTTTGGCAAATCTTTAGGAATTGTTTGGTGCATTTACGATGGGGCACCCACCCAGAGCCTCTGGCATTTTCTCACTCTGCTGACATCAAAACCAATTTAAGGCAAAATAAGAGGCTACTGAGAGGGGAGGAAATAAAGTTGCCAGCTTTAGGTATGGAAATTCCTGGAGATTTGAGGAGTGGAGCCCGGAGAGGGGGACCTCAGACAGGTTACAGTGCCATAGACTCCACCCTCCAACCCAGCTATTTGCTCCTGGGGAACTATTGTTGCCAATCTTGGCCCAGCACCCATCACACCATTCTCTTCAACCCCCTGCTGTGCAGCTGACTTTCCCCTAGGGTTGCCAATCTCCAGGTGGGACCTGGAGATCTCCCACTGCTACAATTGATCTCCAGATGACAGAGATCAGTTCCCCTGGAAAAAATGGCTGCTTTGGAGGGTAGACCCTATGACATTATACCTGCTGAGTCCTTCCCCAATGCTGCCCTCCACAGGATCCACCCCCCAAATCTCCAGGTATTTCCCTAGAGCTGGCAACCCTACTTTCCCCTCAGTGCCTGTTGGTAGGCAACCAAGCTTGGTCCTGTCACCTATTTTGGCCTTTGGGAAAAAACTCATTGATAGAGTTGCCAACTACAGGTGGAAAATTCTTGGAGATTTGAGGGAGGGAGCCTGAAGATGGTGAGGTTTCAGGAGGGGTGGGGTCTCAGACAGGTACAATGCCATAGACTCCACCCTCCAAACCAGTCAGTCCCTAATGGGGAACCATTGTTGCCAATCTCCAGGTGAGGGCTGGAGACCACTCAGAATTACAACTGCTCTTCAAGAGGGAGGGCAGAAGTCAGCTGAAGTCAGAGGAGTAGATAACGGTAGGTTGATGGTTAGCTGGGAAGGAGATGGGGTTGGCAAGTCCAGGTTGGCAAATTCCTGGGGATTTGAGGGGTGGAGCCTGGAGAGGGTGGGGTTTGCGGAGGGGTGGAACCTCAGACAGGTAGAATGCCATAGACTCCACCCTCCAAACCAGCCATTTCATCCTGGGTAACAATTGTAGCCAATCTCCAAGTAAGGGCTGGAGATCACTCAAAATTACGACTGCTCTTCAGGTAGCAGAGATCAGTTCCTCTGGAGAAAATGGTGGACTCTGTCATTATACCCTGTTGAGGTCGCCACAGCAAATTCACACTGTGTGCCCAAAGCCGGGGCACTCTCCCAGAGCCTCTTTCTAGATCCCGCTGTATTTATTTCCACAACGATCCTTATTCCTAGTCCCTTTATAAAACAGACAATTGACCATTCATGTTGCCTCATAGTTTATCTAAACTTACCTTTCCAGGCTTGTTGGCCTCAATGCAATTTTCTTTAAACTTATCTTGTAAAGTCTCTGCTAGCCTACACAGCAAAGCACCATTATCCAATTTCTCCATAAAGGTTTCAGCTGTTATTTCCTTTCCTGAAATGCAATAAAAAGAAAAGTAATCAGCAGCAGTTTTGACTAATACTGATAATCTGAAGAGGTGTTTGGATTGGAAATTTAGTCTGTGCAGAACTGAAGTTGTACATAGTGAAAGGCAAGTGGGAGACCTGCAAGGACTTATAGGGCACATCTCATTTCCTCCTCCCCCATTCTATCCTCTTTTCATTCCCTGAAGGTCCCATACCCTCTCCACTTATCCTGCTTCTTCCTCTTCTTTCCACCAACCAGCCAACCTACCATTATCTGCTCTGTGTCTTCATTGTTCTCTCCTTCCCTTGCCCTGGCAGCCTTTTCCTGGGAAAACTCTTGATAGATTTCAGCCACTGTGCAGTGCCTGCTACCAGGCCAGGCTCAGTTGAACTGTTTCTACTGCTGGGACGTGCCTAGTTGCATGGACTTACCATTATATTCCCATTGCCACACTATTTCCTATGTCCCTCCTCCTTGGAACTCCCATATCTGCACCTTGCCTTGCCACCCACCAATCAATCTACTATTATCAGCTTACATCAGTATTCTTTCCTCCATTTTATCCTTACAACAAGCCTGGGAAGTACGTTTGGCTAAGAATGTCTGTGAGCACCATGGTAGAACTGGGATTTGAACCTGCCTCTCAAACTCTAACCACTATACAACACTGGCTTTTGTGTGGTGGCTGCTGTTGGACAGTAGTGAAAAGGCAGACCTGGGTGAGTCATGCCTTCTCACTACTGGGTGAGTCATGAGTTTGGTGGTAGAAAGTCACCCAGTGGTTGTTGGCGGGCCAAGTCCTATAAATTTTCCTCAAAGGTTCAAACAGTCCTGGAAAGGGCCCTGTCTGGCTTGGGCCTCCCCCCTCCCCTGCCTTTTCCTGAAAGCAAGTAAGCATTGAAGGCTGGTAATACAATGTGGATATGTAGCAATGGCTACAGAGGACATTTGTTTCTTAAAGCTACAGGTACTGCTTCTATTATTTGGGGGAGTTTTAACTCCCTATGGGTGTGGGAGTTGTTTTTTTAAAAAAAAATCAGGTTTTTCTGGAAACCCAAGGCTTTTCTCAGGTTTGTGAAACAGTCTGTCCTGTCTTCTTATTGCTCCAGTCTCTAGATTTAAGTACGCACAGATTTGGCCACGTGGATAATTAGAAATATTGATTTGGAGTTGCATTGCAAATGTACTCACCTACATAGGCCCCGGTCACACGAAAGGTTTTGGGCCGGGAGAGGGACGGATATGGGGCGCAGCAAACGGGCGCGATCCCACCACAACATTTGGGAAATGTTGCACACCCGTCCCCGATCCGGCCCTTTAGGCCAAAAAGCCGCATCTAAAAGAAACCACCTACAGAGGTGGACTTACCAGCACGGCCACATCAAGCGCGGCCATGGGATCACCGACGCATCCTTCTGCCAGCGCATCCAAGACCCATGGCCGAACTGCGCATGCTCACACATGTGCAGTTCGGCAGCCTCCGTTTCTGTCTTGTCGCTTTCTCCCTGGTCTCCCCGGCATCTGATCGTGCCGGGGAGCAACTACGCGGCGGCTCATGGGATCTGTATGATCCCACCGCCGCGTGTCTATTTGGTTGCAGCTTTCAAAAGCCGCACTTTGCCCGTGCTCCCCCCCCCCCGTGTGGCAGGGACCAAAGTCATTTAAAGAAACAGTGGAACTGTTATTAGGTAGGGCTACAGAGGCGCTCACAGAAACAATGCAGTGTCCATGTTTCTCCTGCACTTTCCTTGTCTCAGTACTCCACGGACTCCATTCTCCCCCCTCCCTGGTGTAACCAGAAGGCTCTGGGGTGCTTTTTAAAAATGGCATATCAGTATAGCATTTTAACATTTTATCTTGCCAAGTCTCCACTAGAGCATTTTAAGGACATTAGAATACAATTAAAAACAATGCCAATAAGGACAATGTAATATAGCTGTGGAAGTAGTGACAGACTTCACGTTCCTGGGATCCCAGATCACCGCAGACTGTGACTGCAGCCATGAAATTAAAAGACGCCTGCTCCTTGGGAGGAAAGCGATTGTGAACCTAAACAGCATGATAAAAAGTAGAGACATCACCCTGCCAACAAAAATACGCATGGTCCAAGCAATGGTATTCCCAGTAGTCATGTATGGCTGCGAGAGTTGGACTATAAGGAAGGCCGAGCGCCGAAGAATAGATTCTTTTGAACTATGGTGCTGGAGAAGACTCTTGAGAGTCCCTTGGACTGCAAGAAGATCAAATCAGTCAATCCTAAAAGAAATCAACCCTGACTGTTCTCTGGAAGGCCAGATAATGAAACTGAAGCTCAAATACTTTGGCCACCAAATGAGAAGGGAGCACTCACTGGAGAAGACCCTGATGCTGGGAAAGATTGAAGGTCAAAGAAGATGGGGACGGCAAAGGATGAGATGGTTAGACAGTGTCATAGATACAATGAACATGAAATTGAGCAAACTTCAGAGGACGGCGAAAGACAGGAAGGCCTGACGTGATCTGGTCCATGGGGTCGCGAAGAGTCAGACTCGACTGTGCGACTGAACAACAACAACAATATAAACAACAAATTATGCAATGTAACCAGATTGCAAGGTTAACAATCATGCACTTCAAACAGTATATACAACAAATAATATAATGAGCTGCCTAAAATTTCACAGACATTACTACAGGCCTGTTTTCCTGACAGAAGGAATCCCCTCCTTGATAATTCTGTTTTACATATTCTGTCAAATGATAGAAGTGTGAGCGCCTTCCTGGCTTCTTCAAGTAGACCATGCCACAGAGTAGGAGGAACGACACCCAAGAAAGCTCAAGTATAGGCAGCTTGGGGTGGGGGCTTTAAAAAAAAGTCAATAAATGCAATATTGCAGTAGCATTTTAATGTTTCATCTAGTAAAGTCTCCACTAGAGCATTTTAAGCTGTCTGGGTGGACAACATCCTGTTATTTGGTTAGTTATTTACTTTGTTTATTGTCTGCCTTTCTCTCCAAGACTTAAAGAAGATTACATAACTAAAAACAACACAATGAAACCACCCTGAGGGTGCAGTCAAATGGCGTGCTGAGAGCGGGTTAAACTCCGGTTCTGACCGGATTATATTTGATCTGGATAATCGCAATCACACTTACCTCCCTTATCCCGCTTTACCGCACAGTCGCAGTGCTCTCCGCTGTCTACACTACTGTTGCGCGGGAGCGTGAATTGGCATTTAAAAAAATATCAGTTTGCGCATGCGCATAGGCGCCCCTCCGTAGAATTGAAAAAACCTTGGCAGTTCCCAAAGAGCTCCAAAGTCTCCTCACGGCGCCAGGAGATCCCTCTAATATCAGACATTATTGCAGAGTGTTGACTGCCCACCAAAAGCCTGCCCTGAGGTGAACGTGTGAAATGAGTTCCAGCACAAGACAGATACCTGTGCTACCTAGGAACTATTTCCACTTCAATCTAACCCCTCTAACAAAACACTTCCCTTTAAACATTTGACCCAAAAATGGCCTCCGTGAGATCCCAAACTCATTTAAACGCTAGAACAAGTCACCATTTGAACTTTGGTTTTATTAACACAGGCATGGAGCTCCACCTATGCGCATACCACCGATGCTTTAAAAAAATGGCGAGCAAAAAGCAGACGCCTTGGACTTCTGCAGCAGCTTTCCAGAGGGGAGGGGGTTGAAGCACCTGGAAGTGGCTTGACACCGCAAGAGTGATCAGACATCTGAAACTGCAGCTTGAAACCCGAGAATCAGGAAAACACCAGAGGGGGAACTGGTAACAAAATAATCCGGTTTAAAGGGGGTTTTGAGCAGGAAAGCGATGGTTGGGGATGGTGTGCAGATGTTGATGTGTGAACGTGCCTATGAAACCCGTTTCTGAAGCATAACGGAAGCTGATCAAACAGCCCGTCTGAACGCACCCTGAGTTTTTCAGAGGAAGAATGAAGCACAATTGCGATAAATAAGAAATATGAAAATCACACCCTTTATAGTATGAAAGTTTAAAACAGAATGTATACAATTAAAGAGGAGCACCAATATGCAGTAGCATTTTGACAGGACTGAAATCGAGAGAGATTGTGCAAGTCTAGAAATGAACCCCATGTTCTCTCATCCAAATGGATTTCCGGAAGGAACTAAAGATGGTTGGAGAATGTTAATTTTTTATTAAATGAGCAGCTAAGCATGGAATATGCTTTGAAGAAAAAGTGAAAAAAAACCCTCGCATAATTAAGGAGGAAGAGCAGGACAATGGCCCAGAAGAGAGGTCATTCCT